ACTAAGTGTCACTGCAGGTGCATCGTAAATGTTTTAATACGTTGTTCAGCTGAAAATATTTTCTCCTTTTCTTTGTGATTTCTTCTATAACTCATAAGTGATTTAGGTTTTGTAGTGCTCTCTCTTGGGTTTTGCCCCTTAACCTCTCACCACATTAGCTGTTTTCCAAGTCCTTCAAACATTTACTTCATGTATTTATCCAGTTTCTATCATTGTTCTGGACGGAAATATTAGCCTTATGCAAGCTATTTAATCCGGCTAGAAATTGAAATTTAAGTATGTTTTAGATGTGTAAAATATATCAATATGAATATGATATGAATATTTTGCTAACCACATTAAAGTATATAAAGTAGCTAAATTCTTGGCACTTGTAGAAAAGCATCCAGAAAATTTCTTGAAATTTTCCATGTTTAATTACAATATATATAATTCGGTATAATTTTTATAATCATAGCAATTTTTATGATACTATATTCAAATGGCTTTAGGATAATTTATACCCTTTTTATATCCATATTGAAATATGCAATTAGAAAGGCATTTTTGAGTAACTTTCTTGTCATCTAGCTGTTCACTCATGGTGACCAGATGTGGATTCCTCAAAATAGCCCACTCTCTCCCAGGATGAGCTAAAGCAGTCCTATCCCACGCAGAATCCCATGGCAATTACAAGTGATGAGGGGACAAAAAGTACTGCACAAAGGTACCCACAACTGAACTTCTTTTTTTAAATAAGATATTTATTTTTGCCTGATTTTAAAGCTCAACTTGTTATTTTCCAGCTTTATTGAGGTATAGTTAATAAACAAAAAACTGCACATAATTAATGCATGAAATTTGGTGAGTTTGGACTTCTGAACCAGAGTTGGAGAAAACTGTCTCTGTAAATTTCAAAATAAAAATCAGTTTGTCCAACAGTATGAGAAAATAAGTATTCTTTCACTACCTCTTATGTGCAAGAACTTCCAGGGATCCTATAGACATATTACTGCTGGATCCAGAAACATAAAAAGAGACTGTGCCTAGGGACTTTACTCACAGGATGATTTGGGTGATTCTAAAATACAAAGGACATTTATGGAGATCTCAAAGACTGTGCCTTGTAACAGGCACTGTTCCAATCGTTTAATAAAAATTCTCTCTTTTAATACTCATAGTAAATCTGTGAGATAATCACTCATTATTATTATTGTTATTATTAGTATTATTATTCCCATCATTTTCCAGATGAGCTAAAAGAGGATGATTAATTTGCCCAAGGTTAATTCTTAGTTGGAGAGTATAGAGTCCAGATTTGAATCCCTGATGCCTCACTCTAGACACTTTCTTTTAATGCCCTCACACACTCCAGTAGTGCCTAAATGTTGGATCTGAAGCAGGTGTGTGTGGGGGAGCAAACTGCTTTGAAACAATTTGTGTCCTTTAAATATGGACACATCAGCCACATGGGGCTGGCCCCAGAAGGCCTGAGCTGTTTGGAATAAAAGACTGCCGGGCCTCCTGGCTCTTTTCTATCCATCCTACACTCTACTTCTGTAGTAGTCTCCTACCTCTCGGGCTTTTGTTACACTGCCTGGACTGTGCCTCAGCTCTGCAGTGCTGTAAACCACCTCCCCCCTTGTGACTCTGCTCCTGGTGACCTAGGTGCTTAGTGCAGCCTGCTCAGGAGGAGCCTTGCTTTTATTCAGTCCACTTGGACACCCAAATGCTGACCAGCCAGGAGATCTCATGCTGGCCTGAAGACTGGTGTGTGTACGAGTTAGCTTCAGCCAGGTCCCAGCACTAAGGTTTCTTGGGAAAAGAGGGCTCAGCCAAGCCCAGTAACTGGAGAAATGATCAGATGTGTGTTCTCAGAGACTGTATGAAACCATCAGTGCTCAAAAAAAAAAAATCAGGACAAGAATATGATCTATGACAGTCAGACAAAATTCTCTGAGAATAGGTATTTGATCAGGACAGGAACTATGTGTTCATTTCTCTCAAGATGCACTGCCCAATATTTCCAGTTATTCAATTTCATGTGATATTTATAATCATGGGGTACAATTTTAGTTTCTAATAGTGTATATGAAATATTGCCACTATAAAACTCTAAGATATAGTGCACTATGAAATGGTAGGACATGAACACCAGTGGGAGCCACACAGTGGGGATATGAAGGCAAACCCTGCCCCGTGGCAGCTGCATAGCCTTGGGCAAGTTAGGAAATCTCCATTCCTTTGTTTGAGGCGATGGGATGATCAAATACTATCTAGAACTTCACTAAGACAGTAGCTACTAGCCACATATGGCTATTTAAATTAATTTTGAAACTAAAAAAATACAAATTCTATTCCTAAGTCACTCTAGCCACATCTCAAGTGCTCAAGAGCCATGTGGGGTTAAAGGCTACTGTACTGGACAGCACAAATATCAAATCATCATAGAACATTCTATTGGACAGTGCTTGTCTATAAAAAATGGATCAAATATAATTTAGACACAGTACTTGGAATATATTAAACAAATAATAGGCTTATATTCAGGATTTTTATATTCATGAATATGTGAAGAGCCTGGTATATAAGCCTGGTATCTGTGCTCCAAGTCTTTTTTCCTGTGAAAATCTTCGGGACTGTAAAAGGAATATGCATTAACCAACGCATTTAGGAAAGGAAAGCAAATGCAAGGGAGTCTGACTTTGGAAGAACTGGCATCCTCAGCACAAAACTCAATAACTATATAAAGGAGAATTCAAAATCACCAAGATTTCCTAGATTCATGGTGGATAAACAGCAACATTCTCATATGATTATCAAATTAGGAAAAGACTACCTTTGAAAATATTGAGACTTTCACTGCATAATCAGAGTATTCCTCGATTTGTTTAGGTCTTCTTAAATAAACATGATTTTAATTTTTAAAACTTTAATTTCTAGGATAGTTAACTTTTAATGTTATGAATTTTAAATATTTAAGTGATATTGATGATATACATATAACTGATTTTATATATTGCACTCCTATCCAATGTCCTTGCTAAATGTGCTTATTAAATCTAATGGTTTATCAGTAAATTATTCTCAGTTTTCTGCTGTCTTCCATTAATAGTTCCTTTCCAATTCTAACATCATTTATTTCTTTTCTTGCCTCATTGTACTGGCTTGGACTTGTAACAATAAGTATAAAAATTTTTTCCTTTTTATTTATTTCAAAGGGAAAGCTTTAAAAGCTTTCATTTAGAGAATTATTTTTAATTAGAGATTTCATTTATCTAACAGATCAATATTTATGTTTCCTACTTCTGCTCCTGTCATTTTTAATTAATAGACATGTTTCTAGAAATATAACCATTTCATGTAATTTTTCAAATTTAATGGCCTAACCTTGTTCCTGGTATCCTCTCATGATTTTAATGTCTGTTATTAATGTACGTATAACACTTTTAAAATTTCTGATCTTGATTATTTGAGCCTTCATGTTTTTTTGATAAATTTCACTGGAATGTATCTGTTTCAATAATCCTTTCAAAGGGTTTTGATTCATTCCCCTGACTTCATGTTTGTTTTTCTTTAATAATTTCTTAGTTTTATTATTTGCTTCAATCTGATTTCTGCGCTACATTCAAACTTTCTCCCATTTTAAAATATAAATTTAGGCTATAGAATTCCCTCTGAGAAATTCATTTTCGCAAACAAAAATTCAGTAACATATAAAATGATGATACATCATAACACAGAAAGGTTTATTCTTAGAAAAAAATGGTAAGTTGAATATTTGAAAATCTATCAGTGCAAATAATCACATTAAGAGAATAAAAGGAAAAAATACCATATGATCATCTCTCAAAAAATGCAAACAACTACATAATAAAATTCACTATACATTCATGGTTAGTACTCTCAGCAAAGCAGGAATATAATTTATTTTACTAATCTAATAACATCTATCTGCAAAATAACAGAGCTCACACACAGGGAAATTAAAAGGCACCATTTGAGAGCAGAAGGGTATAGAATATGTTACGAAATACTGGCCTGCCACAATTCCACACAAAGCTGGGTGAAAGAAAGAAAGAAAGGGAAACAAAAGGCCACCATGAGTTAAACCAGCAAGAGAAAATAAAAGCCAGGGTCACATAGGGGACAGCAGCTTATTAAGCCAGCATAGGGACAGGACAAAGCCTGCGGCTTCTGCACAGGAGGGGAGAGAGAGAGACTACAATGAGCTGAGACATCTGAAAGGTGCTAAAGCAGCCTCAGATCACAAGCGCTCCCGCTAACGCCTTGCTGGCGAAAAACGTTCCCGATGTAAGCCCACATGAATTTCCAGAAAATAAAGACCAGAAAATATGACGCATTGTCAAGAAAATGTACCGAAAAAGCTTCTAGAAGTTACAGTCATGAGACAAAGAAAAAAAAAAACGACCCACACAGACAAAAGGGAGTGAACGCAAAATAATTTATAAAATTATAAAATTCACGTATGAGATATTTCACGAACTACAAGGTGAATTTTTAAGCACAGGGGGGAAGACAGAATTGTGATTTTTAAAATAGACATATGTGAAAAAGCAATCAGGAATGCTAGAAGAGATTAAATTTAAAACCTCAAAGGCCGCGATTACGTCCTCCACGGGAGACGGCCGACGAGCGGCTGGGGGATCAGCTGGCGTGCATCGGAGCAAGACAGAGGCTGGAAAGGAGGGGCCGGCAGCCCTGCCTGATGCAAACAAAGGCAGCTTCCGCTCCGACTCTCATGCCAGCTGTACGGATCCGAGCACGCCGTACGGACGCGACAGAGGACTGACGTTGTTCCCACAGGAAGTGTCCGCCGCGCCTGCCCAGAAAGGGAAGTAGGAACTCATAGTCACAGGAAGTAGAGAGTGGGGGGAAGGAAAAGAGATGCACATTTCCCAAAGACGAGCCCCGGGCCGGTTACTGACCTCCGGGCCTCAAGCCCAAAAGGAAGAGGCACCGGGGAAGTTCCGGCACCATTTCAGGGCACAGAAGCTGCCATGGAAGAGCCTGCAGCTCCCTCTGAAGCCTCTGAGGCAGCTGGGGCCCCTACGGGTGCTGCGGCAGCAGGGGAGGGTCCTGGAGGGCCCCGTCTGCCCGTGCGCCCTGTCCCCCGGCAAGTTGCGGTTCCGAGCCCGGCCCTCCTCCGAGCGTCACGTCGGAGGCCTGCCCAGGCCTCAGGGGGAGGGGCCGGGCCCAGCTGGCTGCCGAGCCGGAGCAGTGGCAGCTGGACAAAGCAAATCACTTGCAGGTATTATCTGCATGGGCGGTGCAAGGAGGGGGAGAACTGTCGCTACTCCCACGACCTCTCAGGCTGGCAGATGGCCAGGGAGGGTCGTAGTTCGCCGCCTGGGGCCTCTGCAGGCCAAGGCGCCAGCACGGCTGCGCACGTTGAGACCCTGCCTCAGGAAGTGGCGAAAGCCCCCCCTGCTGCGTCCTCACGCTCCTTGCCTGTGATTGGCTCGGCTGCTGAAAGGGGTTTCTTTGAAGCTGAGAGAGAGAGTGCAGGCCTGGAAGCTGCCGGAGGAGCAGGTGCAGAAGGCTGGGCGGATGCCATTGAGTTTGTTCCCGGGCAACCCTACCGGGGCCGCAGGGCCCTTGTTGTCCCCGAGGCTCCTCTGCAGAGCTCAGTGACTGAGAGGGAGCAGATTGCTGTGGGCACGGGGGAGCAGCTTTGCCGCGATGCTATCATGGGGCAATGCTTTCGTGGGGAGAGATGTATGTATGTCCACGGAGACATATGCGATATGTGTGGGCTACAGGTCTTACACCCGGTGGATGCTGTCCAGAGGGAAGACCATATAAGGGCCTGCATTGAAGCACACGAGAAGGATATGGAACTCTCGTTTGCTGTGCAGCGCAGTCTGGACAAAGTGTGTGGCATCTGCATGGAGGTGGTGTATGACAGAGCCAACCCCAGTGACCGCCGCTTTGGCATCCTCTCCAACTGCAACCACGCCTACTGTCTTAAGTGTATCCGCAGGTGGAGGAGTGCCAAACACTTTGGGAGCAGGCTGGTCAAATCCTGCCCGCAGTGCAGGGTCACTTCCAGCCTTGTTATTCCCAGTGAGTTCTGGGTGGAGGAAGAAGAAGAGAAGCAGAAACTTATTCAGCAGTACAAGGAGGCAATGAGAAACAAGACCTGCAGGTATTTTGCTGCAAGCGGGGGTTATTGCCCATTTGGAGAGAACTGTTTTTACAAGCATGCAGACCCTGAGGGCCTGGGAGAGGATCCTGTGCAGGTGGGAGAGGGCGACATGCCCTTTAAAAGCTGTAAAAAAGAGCTTGTCATGCTTCGGCTGGCCAATCTGTTGTTTAAGTGTTTCCTTTCACTGGGAGATAATGAGCTCCCCTTCTCAGAGGACCAGTGGGACTTGCTTCATTATGAGCTAGAAAAAACATTTCAATTTGAGTCTGTAGCATTATGCTGTGGCATGTGGTCTAGTGTGCTGAGGCTCCGTCATCCGCTATTGCCTGTTTTCTGTTTGTAGACACATCTGTCACTCACAGGGGCTGTTGAAGTCATTTTCATGGAGCATCCATCTCTGTTTTCTTGCCCATCCCATTTGTTTCCCCCTATGATTATGGTGTCTCACTGTGTTAAAAAGCAATCGAAAGTCCTTAAAGTTATTGTTTGGTGAAATTAATATTACTGTCAGTTTATGGTTTATTTTGTCGTCTCTGTTTTCAACAGGAGTGACTCAGTTCTAGTCTAGTGTTTACAGAATTTCCACACTCATTTTGAAGTCCCTCAAGAATAAATGTGACAGGGTGAAGGGAGAAGTCTTAACTGAACAAGGAGCTTTTTGCTACTACAGCCTTAAGAAATGGACCCTGGCGGGGCCTTGTGGTGCAGCTGCTCATCTCTTGTTGTTTACATGTTGTTCCTTCCCTCATCCCCTTCAAGTGCGCTCTTTAACTTGTGGTTACCTTGTGGTTTTGTGTTTTACTTGACCAGAACTAGGTGCATATGTTTACATGTTTTTATCCTGTTTAGCTTGATGTGAAATTATTTATATTTGGAAGTGTGTATTTAAGAATTATATATATATATATATATATATATAAAGAGAGAGATGCATATAAATGTGTATAAAAGTTATGTATTTGAAAATATATATAAAAGATATACATCATACTATGCTATAATGTTTATGTAATAAAGTAAATTTGGAGCTGGAAGCTGGAAGTCAAAGGCTAATAGGATTCACTGTGTTGTGTGAGTGTGAGGTGTGTGAATGATCTTTCCCTTTCACAGGCTTCGGTGATTAGCATCTGATGAAAACAGCTATTCAAGAGGCTCTGGTCAAAAGTGGCAGACAGATCTTAAAGGACTTACAAAATATGGCATTGGTCTTTCCTATGATGGCATTAATAGCTCACTCTGCTATTATAAATATAGAAATGTGTGTTCCCATGCAGTTTAGCATCATCTCATTATTTCCTATAACAGTACAATCCTGGACTCATACACACAGTTTTTGTATTCAATATTCTGTATTGTCTATAGACATTCCAAACAAAGGGCTTTTGTCAAAAATTTCAACATATAAGTGACAAGATTATAAAATATAAAATAAAATAATAAAAATATTGAAACCAGTCTGAATGCAACAATGGAAAAATTTAAAAATAGAATGTAGAAAGTAACAAAAACTAAATACAATAGTAATACGGAAAGTTTATAATACAAATACACCATAATTAGATTAAATGAAAATGGTTTATAAACTAAAAGTTAAAGATTATCAGACTTGATTAAAATTAAAATGAATCTGTTGCTATTTAAAATACACACCTACAGTATAAGAATATAGAAACATTAAAAGAAGATGAAAAAATCAAACAGAGGTGCTGTGTCTTTTTATCATAGACAAAGTTCATATTAAAGAAAAACATATTACTGTAGATAAATAAGGATGGTATGTAAAAAACTATAATTTACTAGGAAGATAAAACTATTCCAATTTTTCATTCATTTATTAACATAGCACCATATATACAAAGAATTAAGAGTAGAAAAATACAAAATCTTAGTGGGCAATTTTAATAGATCTTTTCAGTAACTGAATAAGCAGAGAAAGAAATAATGTATATTTAACAGCACAATTTTAACAGTTTACCTAGTTGACCAGTATAAAACGCTGTACGCACCAACTGCAGAATGCTCTTCTCCTGGCTACAGTAGCTGATGATATGCTGGGCGCCTGAGTCCCAGGAAATTCAGACTGCCCTGACTATCCAACAAAGACAGGGTGCATTTATAGATTTTATACTGTATACTAAGCACTCTGCAAAGCACTAAATTAATTCTCAGAACCACCTTGTGTGGTACCTGCTATAATTTTTCTCAGGTAATTTTTCTTGGGGTAAATAAGGTAGAGAGGTTAAGTTACTTGCCCATATAGCTGTGACCCATAGGTATAAATTAGTGGAACAGCGAATGGAACTCAGTGTATTTCCAGAGCACAGGCACTGTGCTGCCTCTTCCCCCACATATATGACCAGGAGCAGGTGGCTCGGCTGAATACAGCTACTGGAAGCATGTGTGAAATCTTTAATTTCAGCCAGGTGGGACAGAGATGGGCATAAATAAGCTCCTGCAAAAGGTGGGAGCCTTGGGGCTTTATCTGTGGGCTGCCAGACTCGGTATTTCTTAGTCTACTGCTAAGAACGTGCCTCAGCCTTCCATGTTTATACACTGCCTACCTTCTTACATGATCCCTTACATTTTATGGATAAGTATCTCAGCCTGTTTCACTGGAGTCTTTGCTATATTCCTTCCCTTGTGATTCCTCTTATCCAGAGAATTCACCAATTGGGAGGCACTAGATGCCTGGCTATTACTGGCACATGGGGTGAGTGATTTGAAAAGAAATCTAAACGTGTTCCCACCCTTGAGGCTGCCCCAGTCATGCAGCGAAAGGAGGAGTTAGATGACCAAACAGCCAAAGAACAGGACCAGATGCGGCACTCCCAAAAACTGTACTGATACCAAAGGCTCAGAAAATAGGCTCTGAGTAGTGACTCAGCAGTCAAGGAGGGGTTTTTAAGCCAAGCCTGGAAAGCTTTGAAAATGTTGCCCTAATATACATTAACTACATTGTGAAATAATCACATTTTTATTCAGATAGTATCTTGAACCAAACAATCATAATAAAATTTAGGAGGTATAGTGGGACAAGGGTTCGTAGAAGAGAAAATGGTTTGGGCGACAGACAAAGGATAATTAGAAACCTGACTCTGCCTTTTACCAGCCATGCGGTCTGGAGCAAGTTACTTAAATTTTCTATACCTCAGTTTCTTTATATGAGAAATGGGTACAACACCACCTATTTTGTTAGGGTTGTTGTGAGGATCAAATGTAAGCTGGACAAATGGTTTGAAACGTAAGTGGTAGTTTTAAAATGGCATGTCTAAAAGGGGGATTTGTGTGTGCTGGACCTGAGAAGAGCTTGCACAGAATTAATACTCCGCCAATTTTTTTCTTTTTGGGAATCTTTGGAACTTGTGTTAAGGTAACATTATTATTTTATGATTATTTTCATAGGAAGGGGGCATATTACCTTTATTTCCGTAATTTCAAAAAGACCAAGTAATTTTTTTAGCAAAAGTTCACTTAAAATCAAAAGTGTGATATTCAATTGCAGAAAATATAGCAAACAACAAGAAAAAGGTGTATTATTTGTGATGGATGCCTACATGAGGAAACTAAGAAATAAAGAATAAATAAAAAAATAAGATGATGTTTAAAAAATTGGATTCCCTGTTCCCTCGTCAGATCATTCAGAAAGAGGTCAAATAACAGGGCTGTCACTGCCATGAAGGCTCGACAAAGTGTTGAAAGGGCCTTACTGAGAAGACAGCTGGACTACCTCTGTTGTAGTGAGGAACAAAGGAGCCCTTGCCACACAAAAGTTTGTTCTGTGAAGGAGTTTGTTTGTTCAGAGTGTGTGCTGGCGCCTTCCTCAAGGACTCATGGTCTCTGCCTGGGGGTTCTTATAGAAGGTATCATTCTACCCACATGGAAAATGCCTGAGTGAAGCAAGTCTGATTTCCTTAAGCTTCTTGTGTCTCAATTTGGTGGATGTACAGACTTACAAATATGCTAACATTTACATAGTACTCCGTCCCCACTAAGATGTAGAAACCACTTTGTCTCACGAGTCACTAAAGCCATTGACTGAATTCAGTGACTTAAAGGGAAATATTCCCATTCCATAATCAATGCGCATATGCTCTTCCATTGTGCACTTTTGTAAATATCTCGGAGGTGTGGTTTCTGTTTCCACAGCAGATGTTAAAGGAAAACCTCCGTGTGGGAGGGAGTTGGGGTGCAGATGGGAAAAGGGATGTTTGGAAAATAACCCAGCATTATTGCAAAGAAGTAAATTAATACTTCTTGATTAAGGAAAAATTATACGTACTACAATCTATTAGATAGATTACCAAATACGTGCTCAGAGTAAAACCAGTTTTACATACTGATATACATTGTCTAGAAAGACAAATTACATGATTAAATAGGTATCTAAATCTGTAAATTTTAAAGAACTTACCACACACACACACAACAGAAAAAATTAAGGAAGATTAAAGCAAAAATTAGTGGATCAGAAAATGAAAATATAAACGTTATTTCTTCGAAAAAATAAACAGATAAACCATTAACTTAATCAAAAATGAAGAAGAAAGGGCCATTAAACAAAATATGAAACAATAAATATTAAGTAAAGACAAAAAGGCACTAAAAAATGGGAGAAAAATCCTTGTTGCACTGAGGCAAATGCACTTGCAAATGTGAAATAAATTTAAAATTTTCAGCGTAAACATAATTTTCCAAACATGAATCCAGAAGACAAAGTAAATCAAACCAATTACTAATGAAAAATTAAATAAAGTTGTCAGGAGTGTACTTACTCCCCTGTCCCCCAAAAAAGAGAAGAGCAGGAAAAGACATTTGCCCAGAAATTTACTGAAACCTTTAAATATATTACAATGCTATGTAAACCATTCCAGAGAACAGAAGAATGGGAACACTTACATAACTTATGAATGATACATAACATTGGTATCAAAATGTTACGAATACAGTACACTACAAAGATAACTAGAGCTCAATCTCATTTATGAGTATTGATGCCAAAAATCAATGACAAATTAAATATTAACAAAAAATAACACTGTAGTAGGAGAATAAGACATCAGGAAGGAGTAGGTTATATTCCAGGAAAAAAAGGATGATAGACTATGAGAAAATATTTTATCTTGATCTATCAAGAGAAATAATCATACGAGCATCTTCATGTATCCAAAAAACACTAAATTCATGATCCATATGATTATTTTATATGTAATATAGATGTATAAGGTATAAATATTATCTATATATGTGTATGTATACATATATATTGTATACACATCTATATTTTTTTAAATGCACACAGCAACAAAACATATAATGAAAGAAAGCAAAGAAAGAAGGTGAAAGTAGAAATTCAATTAAAAAATTAAATATTAAGGCTGATTTGATATTTGAAAACATCTTATAAACTAGATAAATGGTTATCTAACTTAAGAAAATGAGGAAAAGATAGAAACAAAAAGCACGTACATGATCACACACTCACCTAATAAAAGGAATGTACCACAAATAGAGATTCTGTTAAAGAAACAACAAAAAACATTAATCAGATGCCAATTAATGGCAAAACCTGACATTGATCATTTTCTAGGCATATGTGATTAATCAAACATTGGCTTCAAAATATATTAAAATGTAACCTACCATTTACCATATAATTAAATAAATGATTTCACAGTATGCAGTTTTGCCTAAAAATAGGGATTTTCATAATACCTTTGGAGAACAAATAATTTCAGGGCTGCTCTACACAATTCAGAAATTAGAGATACAAAGAAGGGCCACTTACAT